GACCTTGAGCTTTCACTCACCAATAATGATCTATCACTTGAGCCACACCTCCACTTCTGGCTTTTTGTTTATTCACTGAGGACAGGAGTTTCTCAGATTTGTCTCCCTGTGCTGGCTCCAACTCATGATCCTCAGATCTCAGCCTCCTGAGTAGCTAGCTATGTTTACAGGTATAAGCTGCTGGGCTGGGTCACAGTCTTTATTTTATCTTATCTGTCTGATTTGAGCAGAATGATTTTAAAGGACAGGACAGTTGGTTGCCTGTCGCTTAATTGACACAATCTGGGAACTTAGTTGGTGGGTGGTTTTGTTACTGTGAGAGCATCACAAAGTATACTTAGACACACCCAGATGGGAGGTGCTATGCTGACAGTTACTATAAGCCCTCCTAATGTAATGTTTGTGTGTTTCAACATATTTAAATATTTTAGCAATAAAAACACTAGGTGAGAGGAAAGTTTTAACTCCACAATCATCTTGTGGGACATCCATTAGACGTACAGCACATGGATTTCCATCAACGGCTTATGATGTTTAATTCATTAGCAGCTCTCTAATGAGTATCTCATATGACTTAAATTGTGATTGGCTTGGGGGTAAAATTAAAAATCAGTACATTCATGTCATGTAGGAATGTATGCAAAATTTTAGATAGATAGTTGCAAAAGTCTTATGTTATGCACTGAATTTAAAATAATGCAAATCACCCTCAATTTAAAAAGTCTGTCAAGAGTCTCATAATCTCCAAGCTGCCAGGCAGTGCATTTGAGCAGTGCCATGTGGCAGCTACACTGATCCCCACTGTCCCTGGGTAGCAGAAGTCTTACGCTATCTGAGGGTACCATTCTGATCATCCCTGCCCTGTCCTTCCAGGACCAGTTAGTTATGAAATTTAAACTCAATCCTCAAGATCCTGAATCTGGATGCCAGCTTTCATAGGTTTTAGCATCAGCTAGCTACATGAGCTTTGGGAATACTATAGGTCCCCACATTGACTTTTAGGAAACTGAGTCATGAGGGTATTTGAATAAAGAAAGAGCAGAAATCAACCTCAACAGACCAGATCAGCTTTAATGGAAAGTTGAAGAAGGATACCATGGTGACATGAGGAGATTCAGGAGACACAGGCTCAGCATGCTGGGGAGCAGGGCTGAAGGGACTTGAATAGCATAGTGTCCTGGGTGAAGGTGGCTAGAGAGTAGGAAAAGATGAGGCCAGACTTTGCAAGTTTGAGGTTTGGGCCTGAAGTAATTGACACACTCCTGGTTCCAGGAGTTTGCCATGCAAACCTATTGAGCAGGTCCTGATTCAGCCAGGTGTGGCCTGCTAAGGAATTAGGCACCTGTTACAGGGGTGGAGGGTGGACTTTCACATTTTTGGGATTGCAGATTCTCATCAATGACTACTGCTAGAACATTTAAAACCCTTCTATGTTACAATAACATAACACTAATTTATTTAGTGTCTTATCACATTCATTCGTTGAGGTCTATGTACTACTATTGCCCAAGTTATAGGTGGAAAAACCTTAAAGCATCGGAATTAGATATCTCACTCAGGATCACTCAACTATGGTGTATGAGTACCAGGCTTCAGAAGTAAGCACTCTGGTACTGACTCAGACCTTCCCTCCATGCCATAGCACCTCAGACATACAGCTCCTGAATGATTTCTTTCATCCACACCCAAGTAAGGGTCCCATTCCGAAAGCACATCACCTGTGGAAGAAAATAGACTGGTAAAGAGGAAAAAGAAGGCAGAACAGTCACCAGGAAACACTCCTCAAGATGCATTTCCTCCTTTGTTACTCTTGGAAAGTGAATCTGGTCTTTTGTTAATGGAGAATTAGTCAATGTCTCTTGGTGAGACCTGAAACCTAACTCCAGAGAGTTTGCAGATACCCTCCATTCGCTGCAGTACTTACTTTCTCTGGCTTCCGTACTCTAGCCCTGCGGGGTGGCTATTGGTACTCCCACTATTGTCTTAGAGAAGGCCCACTGCTCCTTCTGAACTAATTCAGAGGCTCCCTGTTGGGCCTAACTCAGGCCTTATGGAATAAAGTAGTCTTTCTTTCCTACAGGAATGTGTTCTAAGGCCTGCTAGGTATGTTTCCAAGAGTATGCCTCAGCACCCCAAAATAGACAATCCACCTATAAAATTATGATGTTGAAACACAGATGTCATTTTACATATTAAATGTCTTAAGATTTTATTTGTGAATCTAATCACTAGCATGTGATGTCTTTGTACTTCTCAAATATAAAGTTCAAGCTAGGCATCAGTGGCTCAAACCTATAAACCTAAGTATTCAAGAGGCTGCAATCTGAGAATAGTCTTTCAAAGCCAGGTAGGATAGAAAAATGCAGGAGACTTTTCTCCAATTAACCACCAAGAGCCAGAAGTGGAGCTGTGGTAGAGCACTAGCCTTGAGTGAAAGAGCTAAGAAACAGTGCCCAGATCTTGAATTCAAAACCCAGTGTTGGCAGAAAAATAAAATATAATCGAAATAAATAAGATTAAAATATAAGGTCTATTAATGTGTCTTTTCAGAGTCACATATATTTTGGAAGTTATATATGATTAAGAAGTTGAGATACACCTACAAGTTTGTTTGTTTGTTTTATAAGTCCAGGCTATTTCAGCAAACATACCCAGTTGAATGGTGCAGTAATTCCTTTCCAGACTACTGCCCATCTTTGATTCAGGTCTATCCCTAAGAATAGATGGCTTTACCTCTCGTTTCCCAGGAGAGTCCTAGGAGGTGTCTACCCTGCCCTCCCTGCAGACCAAGGTGCTTCTGGGTTGGCTTCCTTTGTATGTGCTACTTGTCCATCCCTACAACTTCATTAAAGAACATTCACATTTCTCAGTGCTCCAGGAATATGTGAAGTTTCCTTTCAGAACCTACAGCCTCACTTGCATAGTGTTGGCTGAACTACACAAAGATAACCTATTTACATACTAAAAAGGTCAGTGTTGGACAATGGGCTGTTAGAGAGGAATTTGCTGCTGGTTGCAACTGGAGCAGAAGAATTGGGAAGAAGCCAGCAATTTTGCTGTCTCTTTATCTAGGTGGATAGGAAGCACTGGTAAATGGGAGATGTCTGCTCTGATCCAATACAGCATCTTTATACAGAGAAGCCCAGTGATAAAACCTAGCTTACAGTTAGCACTTTACTGATCTAAAACAGATAGGTGATTGACCCTGGAAGACATGAGGTCAATCTAACCTAATTAGAGGCAGAAATGTTTACAAAACAAATGTTTAAGTTAGTCAAACACGAATCATCAAAATTGACTTTTAAGTTATATGGCCACTGCTCATTTAATCACCATCTGCATTCTTAGGAAAGGCGGACCTCAAGAAGATTCTGATGGTATTTCATTTTGTAATCTGTCTTTTCAAAGTCTCTTTAAATATTAGTAGCTTTACTTTGCATGTGTGTATTGGAACTATCTTAAAAAATACCACTATAGCTGGGTGCCGGTGGCTCATACCTATAATCCTGGCTATTCAGGAGGCTGAGATCTGAGGATAGCTGGTCAAAGCCAGCCTGGGCAGGAAAGTCCATGAAACTCTTATCTCCAATAAACCACCAGAAAACCAGAAATGGCGCTGTAGCTCAAGTGGTAGCATGTTTGCCTTGAGCTGAAGAGCTGAGGGACAGCGCTCAGGCCCAGAGTTCAAGCCCCATGACCGACAAAAAAAAAAAAAACCACTATAGGGCTGGGATGTAGCTCAGTGGAAAATGCTTGCCTAGCAAGTACAACATCCTGAGTTCAATCCCCAGTACCAAAAAAAAAGGAGGATAAAATAATAATATTACAGAGGCAGTGGACTGCTGAAACCTGAGTAATGAATGGTTCCACTCCTCCTCCATGCAGAGACTCAAAGCAAAATCAGTAGGGAAATGAGATGGATGGTTCCATCCTAAACATTGGGATGTAGCATGAGTAAAATCCCTCCTGAAGAGAGAATACTAGTACACTGGTATTAAAACAGACGAGGCTGAAGAACCTGGAGAACCTACTGAATCCCCTTGATAAAAGCAGCTACTGTTGGCAAACCATGGCTACTCTCCTTTGTATCTTAGAACTGTGGTGCATTCAGAGGTCACTCCCTGAAAAGAGAATGGCTGCTGGGAGACACTGATCTCCAATTAACCAGCAGAAAAAGCTGGAATGGAGGTGTGGATCCAGCCATGAGTGAAAACACTGAGAAGAGCATGAGGCCCTGAGTTCAGGCCTTGGTATTGGCAAAGAGAAAATGGAGGGAGAAGAAAGGAAAGAAAAGGAGAAGAAAGGGAGGAAGGGAGGGAGGGAGAGAGAGACAGAGACTGAGAGAGGGAGTAGAGAGAGCACTCATCAACACCTGTGCCAGGGAAGTCTTGGCATCCCAGGTTGCTCTCCATAAGTCCCTGGCCATTTGCTGCACTGCTTCTCCCCAGGTGAGGTCATTGTGTCCCACTGGGAAGCTAGAGTAGCAGCTGATGTCACCCAGTTCTCATGGGGACCCTGTACTGCATTTTGTTCAGTCTCACCAGGGGACTTAGGAGGCCAGATGTGGTCCTGAGCTCTTCTGTGTTTAGAGATGTAGAATGTGGCTTCCAGGAAGAGCTGGCTCTTTGGGAATGTACACATCCCAAAGGGCTCAGAGTACTAATCTGCTATGTACTCACAGTACACGCAAATCCTTGCTTCCTCTGAGTTCTAATGTAAGGAGAGAGGAGCCAAGAGCAGGGACAAGCTAACCCTTCTTTGGCCACTAGAGAATATCTTACAGAGATGATCTGAAGTAGGCTAGCAAACAGCTACAGTCTTCTGGGCCTTACATGACATGTTTTGTGTGTCCTCTGTTCTAAAGCAGACTGGTGGCATGCACTAGGCTTGGCAGTGGCCCTGTTCAAGCACAAGACAAGGGTGCTCATTGCATCTGCCTCTCACCCACCCCAGCTGCCTCGTACAAAGTGCTATGCTCACTCCATGTGGCTCTCTTTCAGAATATTCAGTTGAGCAGACACAGCAGCCTCTTCACCAGTCCATCTTCATGTCTACCCATCCGTTCCGTGATATTTCCCTTGGCAGAGAGCAGCACTGCAAGCTTCTTCCAGGCGTGGCTGGCATTCAGGCCAGCCAAGTGGCCCGATGGACAGTGGATGAGGTGAGCAGAGTCATGCTACAGAGGTCCTCTAATGCCTGGGAAAATGCCTTTTTTTTTCTTTTAGGTATTGCATCTCCATATAAAGTCTAAAATTCATGTTGGAGGGAGAAAATCAGGAAAGCCTATAGCTTGCCTGGTTCATTTTGTGTCTCCATGCCCAATTTTAGCCCAGCACAGTCCTGCCCTCCATCACTAACGGCCAAGGCTGATTGAAGCAGAAGGACCTAGGCTTTCACATTTACCTCACAGCTTTGACTGGGGAAGCACACAAGAAAGCAGCTCAGCAGTATCTTCTCTGGGACATGCACATGCTACTGGGATGGTCTGTGTCCTGAGCAGGTCCTTCTTGCCAGTGTAAGATGATCAGGTCACAACATTGGGTCAGATGCTCTACAGAGGGAAGAAGTCAGATCAGGTTTTAGTATAAGCACAGTTGGTTAAGTTATTGCTTACCCTAGTGAGGAAGCAATGTCACATATTTAAGGCATTTGCTTTTTGTACTGGTAGTAGGGCTTGAATTCAGGGCCAGGACAATCTCCCTTAGCTTTATTTTTCTAAAGGCAGCCACTTGAGCCATACTTCCACTTCTGACTTTGCTGGTTAATGGAGATAAGAGTCTCACAGACTTTTCTTCCTGGGCTGGCTTATAACCTCCATCTTCATATCTCAGTCTCCTGAGTAGCTGAGATCACAGGTATGAGCCACTGGCACCTGGCTAAAATAGTTTTAATTGAAGGAATATGCTGTTTGACAGATGTTTCTTCTGATAAAGGTATCATTTCAGCAGTTAGCACTCAAGATAGCATTTTTATTTCAATGTAGGAGATACCAGGTTACTCTAAGGACAAGATTCAAGGCAGAGATGGTTAAGTTAGTTGTAAGATGTTCACTGAGCACTGGCTGTAATCACCTTCACTCAGAGTTTGGAGGATGAAACTTCCTTGTCTGTCCCATACCAGGCACTTCTCCTGAGGAGCCTGAGCTCACCTGTGCCCTGCTTCCTCTGGCAAGCAGAGGTGGCCTTTTCTCCAGCATGTCCTTCTGGTTGGCCACCTCCCCTCCCCTTTGTGGAAGGCCCATAGTGTCTTGGTTGTGGTAACATGACTCAACATGACAGGCACTGTCTAGATGTTGAAGAATGAGTAAACCATGATCCTGTTCCTTAAATAGTATTTTGAGTCTGCCTCTTGTTTATGAATTTGTACAAGTTTACAGAATGTGCTCATGACCAAGCTAGTGAATTATAGCCAGTTATGTCTATAATCAAGTCATGCATAGCTTTGTCCTTGAAACAACACTGCCCTAAAAGAGAAGTTTAGCTAAGAACAAAGGCCAATTCATCCATTATTGCCTTTCAAGCCAATCATTTGAAGTTGTACCATTTTACAAGTAAGATCCAGAATGGCTCCTCTTCTCTTGCTGGTCCTTCACACCATCAACAAATGAAATCACAATAATGAAAAGTTGGATTCTGAGTTACTCAGAGACTAAGTGATTTGCTTAAGACCACACAGTCAGAGCCAGGTCTAAGCTAGCTTTTCCCAGCACACACACAGAAGACCTAAGTCTGGAGGATAGCAGCCTGAGACAGGCAAGAACAGCTGGGTATGAAAGGCCTTGGAAGCTAGACAGGTATGGGCATGGCCCAGCAGGCTACTGGAGCCTATGAAATACTAGTTTTTGAAGCCAGTATTTCAGGAAGATAAGAACAACAAAGATCTTCCAAAAGAAGGAGAGTGCAGGGAGAAGTAGACAACCACGGAGTTGCCAGCAAGGCCATGGTGTGGGATAACAGGAGCCTGACTGGTGCTACAGGAAGAAGAATTGACTGCTGTTGATGTTTTAAGTTGAAAGCAACAGCTCAGGGAAGGCAACAAGACACAGAAGATGAAAAAGTGAAATGAACCAAATGTGATTCCATTTATAGTCTCAGCACTGCACAGTTTAGTACTTAATTAGGATAATAACATGTGAGAGCTGGAAGGCCTGAGAAGATCCTTTGAAAGAATGGGAAAGAATGGTGCTGCTGTCAGAAGTAGAGCAGCTTTGGGGAAGAGCCCAGTGTGGGGGTTAGAGGGACAACCAGAGGCATTTATGATAGGCCATGTAGTTAGTGGGATCTGTGAGTCACAAGTGCATAGATGTTTTAGGGGACAGAAATGTGAGATGTTGTCATTAGTGGGTGCAAACTCGGGCCACCAAGGGCTCTGTTCTTGTATGTTCAGAGAGAGCCTGTGCGGTCCGAGCACTGGTTCAGGCACTCAGACCGAAAGGTAAGGGAATTAGGGCTGCAAATGGACACTTAAGGAAAAGCAAGCAAAGTCCATGGAAGAAAGTCAAGGGGAGGCAAGTTGTGGATCATGCAACATAGCTCATGGCAGGCCAGGTCAGAGCTCAGGCAGGGACTAGCTGAGGCTACAGAGTCCAACTCTAGGAGGCTTGCAAAACTTGTACATGATTACGTACGTGTGTGTGTGTGTGTGTGTGTGTGTGTGTGTGTGTGTGTGTGTGTGTGTGTGTGTATGCTTGAACTCAGGGCCTGGGCACTGTCCCTAAGCATTTTTTGCTCAAGGTTAGTGCTCTACCCCTTGAGCCACAGCTCCACTTCCAGCTTTTTTTTTTTTTTCTGGTGGTTAATTGTATAAGGTCCACCCTGGGAAGGTGGAGCAGACTCATTCCTGTTCTTGGTTAAGTCTCCGCCCAGTACCTGTGTCACCTAGGTAACCAACACACTTGGAGGCAGTCACCTCCCCCCCCCCCTTCCTGAGGTCTCATCCCCATCCGGTGGGCCACACCTTCTTCCAGCCCCTGGCTGTGATAAGTCTGGCCTGGCTGTGGTTTGATCCTTTTTATTCCTGCTGTGTGGGCTTCCAACTTGACCAGAGGCGGCCTGCAAATAAACCTTTCCCTTGCCTGAATACCACGTGTTGCTCTCTTTCTTCGGCTGCCAATTTAATTTACCTAACAAACTGGAGATAAGAATTGCATGGGTTTTCCTACCCAGGCTGACTTTGAACCATAATCCTCTGTTCTCAGCCTCTTCAGTAGCTAGGATTTCAGGTGTGAGCCCCTAGTGCACAATGCATGATTACGTTTTTAGTGAAGAGGAAAGCTTGTTTTCTTTTTCTTTCTCAGGGAAGCTGTTCTTACAAAAAGAACATGAACCCTGAGTATGAGGGCCAGCAAGCAGTAAGGAGGAAATGGAGTCAGGTAGGGTCTTGATCTCACAAGTTGCAAGTTTGACACATAATGAACTTGAAAGGCGGACGTCGGAAGATGACCAAAGGGAGTAGCTGGCCCTCACAGGTTAAAGTCTCAAGATCGGAAAGGTTTCAAAAGGAAGAGCCCAGAGAGTCTGCAGATGCTGCTGAGTGCTGTAAGAAGGTGAATCCTAGTTCCTGAGTTCTCAGTAGCAGTGCGCCGTCTCAGCCCTGCAGTGCTGGAAGAGCCCTTGGAATTTAAGCAGAAGCCCAAGAGATATTCAAAAGGTCAGGTGCCTTGCATCAAGTGCTCGCAACAATGCTTCCCTGTGTTTCCATTACCATGGTGTCCATCAGGGATGCGTTCCAGAGACAGACAGCCATCTTCTTGCTGCTGACACAGAGCTGACCCAGCTCCGTCTTCATATCTCCTTAACAAGCTGCCCTTGGGTATAAGAACCACATCCTAGATCTCTTTCCATAGCCTTCATATTGATAGTACATTTTCCAGTGCCAAAGAAGGTCCTTGAGGGTGATCCTGGATGGTTTGAAAACCATGGGCTTTATGGTTGTGTGTTCTGTGCCTTTGAAATTGATGCAGCTTTCTGGAGAGAGGCCACATAGTGGGCATGGGGAGGGTACTCACCAATGGTGGGGGTGGGTTGCTCAAAATGTCACAATAGAAGTGACAGGTGAGGAGGGATGATTTACAAAGGCAATTCAAGGCCAAACAGGATGCTGGCTGTGGGAGCTGCTTTTGTGTTTTATTCTCCCTGGACTCACTGGGGGGAGGGGGAGAGAGGGCATGCAGAAGCCAGGGACCAGGCATGCTGAAATGAACTTTGGGCATCCTGTTAAGTGCCGTTCAGCAAGACCTAACACGGAATGTCTATAGCAGAGGCTGAAGAGAGAGAACAATCCCTTTGTCTGCCATCCTGGCCCAGGAGAAAGACCTCTGCTCTACATTATGCTACCTGTGAAGAGAAGCCAAGCATGGCCTTTTTCTCACTCCCTAGAGCTGAGAGTTGGCTTTAATTCCTTTGTCACTGTGGCCGTCTCTTCCACAGCAGTGGTTTTCAAAGCATGGGTAGACTGTGAACTCAATCTAATGGTTATGAAATGAAAGGAAAGAAACAGATGACAGCATAGTAGATGTCATGATAGTGTTTTGTGAAGCTTGTTTGAGAGCTAGGAATACGAGCACACATTTCAGTGTTCATCAGTATAAGTACTTCTTACTCTATAACAAAGAAGTACTCTATTTAATACTACAAGCTTTCAAGTGTAGGGACTAAAATATTTTTACCTTCTTATAGCTATAGAGATCTGAAAAGCAAAGCAGGTGTTAGGCCAGTATTTGAATGAATGAATGATTGAACAGAGATGAATTTTATAGTCAGCGCACATGAGCAAGTTATGATGTGTTCTGTGCACATTACTGTCCAGGTAATGACTCAGTTATGCTTGACACACATGTGGCTACTTTTATCTCGTTGATTCTAAAATGCATCCTCAAACACCACATATAAATTGCCCTAGGCTCTACAAAGTGTTCCCTAAATGATCATTAAGTATAAAAGATGGCAGCTACTTTAAAAGCAGTCTTTACACAGGAGACAGAGTTTGGAAAAATTCAGGGTACTGCTAGCTAAGCACTGCAGCCTTCTACAATTGGGCCCTTCAAACAAACAAAACAAAACAAAACCCTCTGCTATTAAAAAAGAAAAAGAAAAAAGCAAAGAGAGACTCAGCCTGCAAACTTGGTCCCCAGTGGACGTTGAGGCCATACAATCGAGCACACACTTCCAGGCACAGCAAGAGAGAAACACCAGAACTGTGGAAAATGGAAGGAATGGTGGCCACTGCAGAACACAGGCCTGCTGAGCTCCAGAGAGGAAGCCAAGGAAAGTAGGTCGTGGGGGGGGGGGGGATGTGAGTTGAGTAAAGCCAAGGCTCATGGCAGTGCCATCCTTCCTTTTCCCAAACTGCTGTCTCATACTTAGAATTAACCTACTCAGTGTCCTTCCAAAACAAAGCAGGGATTTGAGCCACTGGACACTGTGCTCCTAGAGCATGAAAGACAGGCAAGAAAGCAACCCGTGCATTCAGATGCTCCCCAGAGCCAAGCCCAAACCTGGTTCCTCTGCTGGTGACAGGGTCTTAGTACCTTGAAAAAAAAACAACAACAGATCCATCCACAGCTGTCTCCCTGAGGATATAGCACAGATGGATCGGCTCAGCCCTTTTCATAGGTTCATTCCCATTGAACTGCTGTCTGTCTACATTTTACCACAATTTGAAGGAAAAGGTCTTTTTCAAGGTGAGAAGGAGAGGGAAACTTTTCAGACTTTATTCGGTAGTATCTGAGAGCTCACCTCTTTCCATTTGGAAAAACTGTCGCAAAACATGCCTTCCATGAAAACTCTCAATAGCATTTACGCTTAGGGAAAATAAATGCCAACTGAATAAATAAATAATACTTAATCAGGACCTTTTTTTTTTTTACAGACGATCTGGGCAAAGAAGCTTGAGTTCATAGAACTTGTTCTTTGGATAAAAAGACTAGAGACAAAGTGAATTCTTCCTCAAAGGCAGAAAATTAGAGCAGTGGGGGAGGGGAAGTCTGAGGACCCACAGCTTCCCTGTTGTCTGCAGAGAGCCTAACTGAGGACCCCAGGAGAGGCTAGAACTGCTCAAGAGACACTATCTATCTATTGTGCATGCTTTATTTAACCTATTAGTTAAGCCCATTACAAACACTGGCTTAAAACTGGGGGTCACTGCCGGTGGCTCATGCTTGTATTCCTAGTTACTCAGAAGTCTCAGACCTAGAAGATCACAGTTTAGAGACTGCTTGTGTAGAGAAGGCCACCAGACCCCATCTCTACCTAGCCAGCACAAAGCCAGACTGAAGGCATGGCTCAAGCAGTAGAACACCAGCCATAAACAAACAAGCCAAGCAAGAGTATGGAACTGGGTGTGCAAGCCCTATTACTGACCACACCCCTTCCCCCCCCAAAACACAACCTTGGTGTATGTGTGCTGTGGACAATGAGTTCTCTGCTGACATTGCTGAGGAGGCAATAGTCTTCAGTATATTGTTTATCCAGGAAAGGACAGGGTGATGGATACAAAGTATCAGAGTACCTCACAGTACCTTGGGACATCACTGGTTCTGTGGCAACATGACACCTTATCTCAGCTCCTGACTGAGACAAAACAAAGCCTCCAGGTCCCCCTTTTTCTATTTTCTGACACTTAGCCCCTCTCCCTTTTAAAGTCACCTGAATAGAAGATTTGAGGTGATTTGTTCTCCAAGAATATTAGGCAGCATCTGGACCTATCTGGAGATTGCAGCTGCTGTTGGCAGCCAATGAGGAGAGACCAGCAGTGTAGTTAAATGTCCCACAATCCACAGGGCTATCCACAGGTAGCTGGCCCATTGTGCCAATAGTAGTGAGCTTGAGAGACCCTGCCTTCCAGCACTTTCCTGGAATTTCCTGGATTGCTTTCACCTTATATCCAGCCTGTCTCCAGCCCTGCGGATTTTACCTCTGCAGCCCCTCCTGCCGAGATTCTGGGCTCTGTCCCCATGCCAGGTGTCTAGGTCCTTGTGTTCCCCACTGGGCTGCAGCTAATATGGTCCAGCAGACATTCCCCAACCCTCACAAAAGGTCACAGCATAAATGTATTGAGATGCCCTGGATCACCTCTCCTACTTTCCCTGGCGCTGTGGTCCCAAGCCTTTAGTACATGCACATTAGCATTCCAAGCGAGCTTTGAAAAGAAAGGCCAGCACGTGGACCCAGTCCAGCTCTATTTATTTGCAGTCTCTGTAACCTGAGCCTGGACCTCATTGGTCTGCAGGCTCTGCAGGTGATTGCAACATGTGGCCAGGTAAGCCCTGCTTCCCAAAAGTCTTCCCATTTCCCTCCCACTGACCAACTTGGATTCCTTTCTGCTGCTGCTCCTACCTGCCCTGGGGGCTCATTTCTGTAATTCTCTGCCTGTCCACCTACCTACATCAAGGAGCCCTCCTTTATGAAGATTTCCTGAGTTCTCACTAAGGTAAACCTTTATGTGTGTGTATACTGCTACTTTGGCCTGAACTCCGTGACTTCCACTCTTGCTTGCCATTTTTGTTCAAGGCTGGTGCTCCCAACTTGATCCACAGCACCACTTCCAGTCTTACTTGGAGATAAGAGTCTCTTGGTATTTGTCTTCCTGGGTTGGTTTTGAATCTAAATCCTCCTATCTCAGCCTCTTGAGTAACTAGGATTACAGGTGTGAGCCACCAGTACCTGGCCAAATCTTTCCTTCTGAAAGAAGGATCTTGTGACCTTGTATGATACCGATGAGTGATTGCTCCCTTATTCATCATTCCTATCTCTCCCATCAATAGTTCAGGCCTGAGCTGCTCATAGGTACCAAAGCAAAGCCTTGTACACAATCAAGGCAGACATGATCAATCAGGAGAGCAGCCTGAAACTTACAGGACACAGCCACCCTTTCTGTCTCTCAGTGTCCTGGATCCAAGACTCTCTGGAGGTGCTACTTGAGCATCTATCCAAAGTGCTGTTCCCTGCCCTAGGGACCCATCTATGTCACCTTGACAGCAGCCCTCTTGACTTCCATTGACACTCTGCAAATACATGAAGCTCTTTGCTTATTCATCACCCAGAAAAGAACAAAGTATTAACTCACTTAGGACAACTGGGCTCCCTCTACCTATGCACCATGGAAACCCTAGTTCTGTGAGACCCGGCCACTGTGCTGAGGAGAGCCGGCCTTAGCAGCTCACATGCTGCAGTGTGGAGGTCTTGGGGGTGTCGGGGCATGGCTGGTTTAGGGAGAGTGTCCTCAAATCCTTATCACCACACGATTTAGAAGGATGATTGCAAAGTGATTCAAAATGAAGCATATTTGTAGCACCAGGGGCGAGTAAAGCAGATACCAACACACCAATTCCTCCATGCATCCCCCGCCCCCCGCACGGAAGATATTCTTAACCCTTTGCATTCCCACAAACCCAAGGTGGCTGTGAGACCACAGGGCATAGTTCAGATGTACACACAGGAGTCACAACTCCTGTGGATGCTGGCCCACACTGCTCCAGAACCAGGAACCAACACCTGATGTTTTCTGTCTGCTTACTTCTGGAAAGGCTTGTGGGGAGTAAATGATATTAAGTCCTGTTGTAGTAGAGGATTTTGGTCTCCGATGCTGGGCTCCATGGCCTCTGAAGTCCTCCATGAGACCAGGAGAGGAGACCTGGTGGCAGAGAGAGAGAAAGATCAGCAGAAAGACAGTTCCTTTACTAGATCTCACCCTCAAGGATCCATTCACCCATTGTTCAGCCTCACTGATCACATGCCACATCTACCCAGAGCCAGTAGAGCCTACTGATCATTCAGTTCATCCAGAATCTGCACTCATTGTGTATGTCCATGATGCAGCTTCACTGTTGAGAATACTTGGGGGCTTCCTGTACGGGTAGCCAGGTCTTGGAGCTCTCTTACGTAGAAGAAAATTGAGGAGGGCTGGGATGGAGAGTGAGGGAACAGGTGAGAGCCAAAATCAAGTTAAAGATGTGAAGCCACTTTCTGGGATTCCAGGTTTGGGTTCCAAAACAATCTCTGCTGCTTTCTAGTCAAGTGTGAGTGCGGGTAAGTTGATACAGCCACAGGGATTTAGTTTTATGGTCGTTCCTGTGCGAATCCAGCTGAGTCTGGCAGACACAGGGGAGAAGTGGACCCTCAGGATGAGTACAAGGGGACTCTGTCATCGGCTGCCTGTAAACAAGGTGGACAGTTCTCATCTCTTTCGGCCTTCATTAAAACTGCTGCCTAAAACTATTATCCTTGCCTTTCCCAGCCCCACAAGGTGGTCAAGATGATCAGCTGTGGAAAGCTTCTGGGAAGCCAGAGCACCACACAGATGGAGGCCATCCCCATAACCCAATGTAGGTCAGCCTAGTGACAGGATGGAAAAGACATTGGGGCAGGTCTAATTTATGAGCGGATGAATGCTAATGTGACTTGATAGTTACTATTTAAATCCAAGCGTTTGTGGAAACCGAAGTCTATTTTATTCACATGTTGAGTCACTACAACCCTCAATTATTTCAGGTGTGTGTTTTAAATTAGGCTTTTCATTTTCCGCTGTAGGTGGCTGAGTTTGTACAGTCCCTCCTGGGCTGCGAAGAACAGGCCAAGTGCTTCGAGAAAGAGGTAAGAAATGTAAAGGTGACTTGAGATTGTGGGCCTTCTAAGCCCACGAGTTTGTTATTTCCATTTAGTTAAGAGTAAATATGAATGGTTTTAGAGATGGCAGAAAGTGGACCAGCAGAAGCACCCAACACTGCTGTAGCCCTCACCTAGGGAGCATACTCCCAAGTACACTCTTTGATGGAAGAATTTATGAACAAGATAACTTACCCGTCTGGTTGTCACAAGCCTCCTTCCAGATGTCTTGAGGCTACACTGGGGTGGGGGTGGGGCTGGTACTAGGGAAGCTGATGAAGTCTTCTGCTCCAGAGTGAAATCAGAAGCAGACTCCTTCACCACACCTGCTTCAGAGGATGCAAAATGCTATACCATTTTGTCGTTGACATTTCCTGCCTCATTATCTTGGTTGGATATTCTAAACTGCTGAGCACATTTCCAGGAACTAGGGGCTACCACTCCCAGGACTATGGAAAAAACTAGACCAGCTACACAATGCAAATGGTGACAATGACTGTGGATTGTAGACCTGAAATGTGCCAGGCACCATGCTGAGCTTTAGCCAGTGGTTGTCTTTTGGTTCACTAAATGCTCTGCAGTGGGAATTTGCCATGAAAGAAGGTTTGGCTCAGGAAGACTAGGCATGGTTTAAACAAATAAAAGGCAAAGTTGGACTCTGCCGCTATCTCTTGGTTTCAGAGCCTTAGACCTTAGTCCTTACTCTAGAACTCGCTAGAAGACTACTCTCCTAGAAACTCTCCCTCTTGACTTGCATAGTTCAAGGGACATACTCTTGGAGTCTTGGGTCCTGGCTGAGTCTCTGAGTTCCGCAGGCAAACCCAGCATCAGAAGCAGACTGTGCTGGTCTGGCAGCTCCCAATGAAACAAGTGCAGGCTCTGTGTTTGGCAGTGCCCAAGGCCCACCGTGTCCCAAGTGTTAGCATGGTGAGGGCAAAAGTGTGGCCCTTCATGTGAGCTGCTCACACTCCATATGCACTCCCAGCCCGGCTGTGAGCACATCACTTAACCTCTTACCCCTCTCTATAAACACAAGCTGATATGGGGGAACTTTCTAGACCAGGTTATGTGTTTAAGTACCTAACTCAATTCTTGGCCCAAGTACATGGTTAACGAAGACAGTAGTACAGAGCAAAGGGTCCAACAAGCCCTGCCCGAGATCCCAACTTCTACTTTTAAAAATTGTGTGATGGAAGCTGGGAAGGTGGTTCAGTCGTAGAGTGCTTGCCTCACATGCATGAGGTCCTGGGTTCGATTCCTCAGCACCACATAAGCAGAAAAAGCTGGAACTGGTGCTGTGGCTCTCGTGGTAGAGCGCTAGCCTTGAGCTGAAGAGCTGAGGGACAGCGCCCAGGCCCAGAGTTCAGGCCCCACGACCGACCAAAAATAAAAAAAATTGTGTGACATTCGAGAGTCTTTAAGTTTATAATTCCAGGTTTCCTCATCTACTTTTGAGGTAATGGAGAGATTAAAAACATATAAATTATAATAATGGATTGTGATAGCACCATAAACATTGGCTGTTATTACCATCATTGCCTTACTCTTAAGACACTTGAGGCTAGTGGGTTTCTCTGTCTGTCTGTCTGTCTGTCTCTGTCTGTCTGTCTCTGTCTGTCTGTCTCTCTCTCTCTGCCTGGAAATACTGTTGCTGACTTCATTAGAGTATGGAAAGAGACATATTCTCCCTCTTAAACCCTAAGGAATGTGTTCTTTATTTCCTAGGAGAAGTATTTCATTCTCTGTGGATGTGTCTTCATTTACCATGAGTGCACAAGAAGCTTTCTAAATCTTTTTAAGTGTTTAAGCATGCAAAAGCCTCTGGAAGGGTCCCAGAGCACTTCCTCTCTTGCCAAAAGGATCACAGATCACAGCATCATTGTGGTGCTGAGTGGAGGGATGTGTTACAAATGTGAAAAGGTTTGACCATGGTGCTAGGCCCACCAAAGGATTATGCAGAAAACCTTCCGTTACTGTCTAGTTGTGAAGCCAGGAGTTATGTACATAAGTCACATCATAAGCTAGACACGGGTAGCCCATGCCTATAATCCTACCTATTCAGGAGTTTGAGATCTGTGGATAATGGTTCAAAACCAACCTGAACAGAAAAATCTTTGGGTCTCTTATCTCTAATTAACTGCCAAAAGGCTGTAAGTAGCATAGCTCAAGGGATAGAAAGCCAAGCTTGTGCAAAAAAAAAAAAAAAAACAAACTAAGCAAAACTGCAAGGTCCTGAGGTCAAGTCCCAGTACTGGCAATAATAGATAGGTAAAAAGAAAGAGAAAAAGAGAGAGGAAGAGAGAGAGGACATTCATTATACAGGATCAGGACACTCAAGCAGTCAAGAGTCAAGCCCTGAAGTCCTGAGGGCCTCTGGAAGTGGTGGACTAACCGCTTGCACAATAGCCACTTGCCATCATGGGAACTCGAGAAAAGCAAGCACACTTCATTTCTAATCTAAAAATATTGAACTGTCAAGTAAAGATTGAGTATATTTAAGGGGCACCACATGGTGATTTGATATGAATATTCATGATATGCTAATTACCACAGTGATAATCTCTACTATAGCCATCATCACCCTGAATTTCAGACTTAGGTTTTCAGGAGCTTGTTCACCTAGAACCAGAAATCATTCTGAGCCAGTTTTTTTTAAATCTGTTTAAAAGCTAATAAATAAAACATTTATTATGTATGTACTTTTTGCACTGTTTTTTTTATTATGGAAAGAAAAATTTAAACCATAGGAAAGCGAAAAGGAAAAAGTGAAACACAATTACTATTCTTGCAGGCAGTCTAGCTCCCATTAACATTTGGTGTGAAGATTTCTAATGTTTTAAATGTGTGGCTAGGAGGATTTAATTGTATACATATATACTGAGAATTCTATCATCATATCACATTGCTTACCAATTGCTTTCTAAATCATTATATCCTTGAGACATAAAATTTGGTGACCCTTCTATTAATGTACCGTAATGTACTCATTTCTGTTGTTGGTTGAGCCCTGGGATATTTCCAGTATTCATTGCCTGAGTAATGTAGGATATATACATTGCACACAATGCTCTTGGGGAAAATTTCCCAGAGATTAACTTGGTTCCCCTTTTAAGGCTCTTGATACTATTGCAGGGTTTCAGCAACACTCAGCACCAATAAGCTATCTTTTTTTAAATAATTTTTTTGTGAAAATACTATACAGAGGGGTTACAGTTACAGTTACATGAGCAAGGGTATTGAGTACATTTCTTATCAAGCATTGTTGCCTCTTCCTTTGTTTTTCCCCTGCCATCCCTTCCCTACCCACCTCCACAACTACACTCTCTCCCCTCCCCAGCCTAAATTATAAAGTTTGTTTTTCGACGTAGCGTCTTGTACATCTCATTGTTGCAATGGGTCTTTATTTGTTGTGTATTTATTGCAGCAGATCGATGGCAAAGCCTTCTTGCTTCTGACACAAACAGACATTGTCAAAGTCATGAAGATCAAGCTGGGCCCTGCGCTGAAGATCTACAATTCCATCCTGATGTTCAAAGCCTCCCAGGACCTTACTGAAGATGCTGCCTCAAGCCAAGAAGCAAGGGGGTGAACGTCCTCCCGAACTTGAACTTTCTCTGGCACCAGATCCTGGACTCCTTCAGCAAAAACAGGGGCACCCATTCATTTGAATTCCATGGCCCCATGGTCACATCCACAATTTATCTGGACCCTTTAGAAAGTCCCTGTGGCTTGTGTGTATGGAGCATTTTGTGTGCAGAGTGTGGACTTGCAATGTGGTTGTCTTTGGAGGGCTCCTTTCTGCTGTGACGTGTTGCAACACAGAACAAAGAAGCCCACCTATGTAGGTCTATGTTCTTCTCACACCATAAAAGAAGCCATTTTCCATTCCACAGCCCTTTGTCTCCCTGGTAATAAGATACCCAAAAAGCTGCGCACATCAACTCACGGCTGCTGTGTTTATCAGAGCTGCCGCTGAGCAGGGACTACATTTGTCATCCGAGGACACTGTGTCCAGGGGGTGGAAGCCTGGTGCCTTTTAAAAGACTCTTGTGAAATTTCTACCTGCTTTACTCAGGAAAGTGACCTTTTTAAAAATAATAATAATAATAAGCACACTCATTCAGGTTTCATAAACTTGCCTTTTTTATTCCATTACTATTTATTTTAATTTATTTCATAACTAGTCCTTAGTTATGGTCCCAAGGCATCCTGGAACCTACACGAAGCATTATGCCTAGGACTAACAGAAAAACAGTCAGGTGGGCACTTCCAGAAGCTGGTGAGACTTCCCATCTGCAGTGAGACTGTGGGTACCCATCCTAACACCGCCCTTCTAACACAGGCCCTCAGCTGTAGGCCAGACATTCACCTGCATTAAAATCCTACCAGCTTGAACGCTGATGGGACCTTTGGAGAACTAAATGTGTGTCAGAAGTGCACTGGGGGCCTGAGTTCATCTCTACAAACAGAAGCACCACTAGAAGGAAGGATCACTGATGTAGGAAGCGAGATATTGATTTTTAGTGTGAAAAATTCTGATTTATTCTTGGATGGGTCATCATATTTTAAGACTGATTGTATCTGGAATCCAACTTATATGGATTCAGTCTCATAGTTATTAAAAACAACTACTTGGCTTCTTATCCCCCCCCCACCTTTTTTACACGTAGTACTACTTTTACACGTAGTAACAGCTACCATGCCCTAGAGAAAGTGGGCATTCGTCATTTTAGGATGAGAAGAAAAAGAGTTCAAAATAAAGAGACTCAGGTCTGACATATCAATTTGCTTCACTCAGAATGTTAGTGGTTTGAGAAAATTGAATCTGTTTAGACAATTTCAGAAACTTAAGGCTTTTTAAGAAGAAATAAACTTCTCCAAGAAGAGTGCATACATTTTGTTTCTTTAGATTTTTACCTAAATGATATTTTAATATATTATTGGTTGGTATAAATTTCGGTGGCAATTGGTTTGGTTATTTGGTTTGCTTTTTGTAGTTCGCCATATGCAATTAAATTCCTGCTTCTGCTATGAAATTTTTAATATATTTTAAGTTATAATAAAGAGATAAAATAAAATCCAAACTTTTCTGACTTGATGAATGTACTGTTGTAAATCAAGCCCATCTTACAACCTGAAGTCTGTTGGGGTTTTTTTCATTTTTTTTTCTTTTTTTTTTTCTCAGTTGTGGAAAAACAAAGGTAACTACATGAATTCTAAAACAAATAACTGAGGCAGTTTTTACTATCATGTTCCTTGGGCCACATTCCCTTAGGGAGCTATGTGTTACTAACATGAGAGAATAAATTAGAGGGCTTTGTTAAATTAATAACTTTAAATTCGCTCATTGTCAAGGCACAATGGAAGACCTGAAATTTGTGTATGGCATTTCAAGTATATGGCATTTCAACAGCAGAACCTAGAGCAGGAGAAATGATACCAAGTAAAATTGGAATTAAACTAGAAGATGATCAGATAGAGCCACAGAAATCCCATTCTGACACTCAAGTCTGGACTACTGCAGTGCATCCCAAAGGGAATTCAGAACAACTCACATAAGTACCCAGACCCATCATTCAAGAAACTGCCCAGGGGGCTGGGAAGGTGGCTCAGTGGTAAAGCGCTTGCCTTGCATGCCTGAGGCCCTGGGTTCGATTCCTCACCACCACATAAGCAAAAAGAAAAAAGCCGGAAGTGGTGCTGTGGCTCAAGTGGTAGAGCGCTAGCCTTGAGCTGAAGAGCTGAGGGACAGCGCCCAGGCCCACGACTGGACCCCCCCCATAAAAGAAAGAAACTGCCCAGGCCAGGAAACAAGAGTCACCTAGTTCTTTGCATTCTTGTGGCATAAATCTACCACTGTGAAGTCACTGGGGTTAGGAAGAACTGTTAGTTTTTAAGAGACCTGCTCCCTGAAAGCTGGGCCCCCTTCAGTCACTCCATTGCCCATCCCCACCACCCCTTCTACCCTCAAGCTTTTTCTAAGATTTAGACTACTCTTACCCTGATATGATTGAAACTAAGCGTATTTTCCTCCATGTTCATTTTGTTCTTATGCCTCCCACCATTGCCTATGCAACTCCTCTTCCAGAGACATTCTCCTGCCCCTCCCTTCCCTCTGTATTATTATTGCTTCTCTCCCCACTGGTCTAGAAGGTCAGTGAGGACCTAACTATGCCTGTCAGGTTCATCACTGGGTTCTTGCACTTAGCAGAGTATCTGGCATGCAATTAGCTCATAGTAAGTTAGTTGTTACATCAACGAATAAAGCAGGCCAAACAAACTCACATGCAAGTCCTACCTCTGCACTTCCTGAACAAGAGTAACCTCTGTAAATTAGGAAAATAACACCTCCACTGGGGGTTTTAATTTGATTTGGGGAGTGTCAAAGTAAGTGACATAACACATATGAGGTGCTGACACCTAGCAACAGCCACTGAGTAGGTGTCAGGAGAATGACAGCTACATGAATCTTCTTTAGGTTGGCAGTGGACCAAACTGAACAGGACTCTTCCATGGTTGAGCCCCTTTTCTTGTATTAAGCCTGAGTAGGCCACTCTTCTTAGATTGGATATGCCAGAGGTCTTGTGTTTCCTGGGAGTACCCCCAGACTGCTGTTTAGGGGTCCCTGATGATCCTAAGTTCAGCTCCACTGTAGTCTAGCATCCACTCTAACCTCTTTTTCTTCTCCCTCTAGCAAGCTAGAGAAAGGTTTGAAACACGAAGAACTGAAATCTTTCACTATTCCAGAACAACCTCCCTGTGCCCTCATGATCAGGCCAGCACCAGAGATGATAGCAGTAGGGGCTGCTAACAGCTTCTTGTCTAAATTCTTGCCTGGAATATAAGTTGAATCAGGGAGAAATTTTAAAAAAAAATTGCACACAAGGCTTCAAGAGATTCAAACTTCTAGGTTATTAGAAAGAGCTCCCCTAAAGGACCATTTGTACAACGCAGCCTAAATACACATTGTGATGTTAGAAATGAGATCATTAGCAAGAATCCTAAAGGGAATCTAGGACTTCTGAGACTAGTCTTTGATTATAGCCTGTAATTGCAGATAGATTTTTTTAAAAAAAATAAATACATTCCCTGTCAGTACCAACAGCCCTAAGTCATTTAAAACAATCTCTTCTTAATCTCTTCTTTGCTCCCTCTGTGACTGAATACCTGACCTTTTAAAATTCACACTTTCAAGGAGTTTTCAAGATTTAAGAGAACATGAGACTGGCTTCTTACTAGCACAAGGCTCTGTGCTATGACAACCTTCCCTGATTGCATGTTAGCTTTCAAATACACTGAGATTTCTGGGAACCATTCATTTTTGTCTTCAAGGCCTCCATGTTCTGAGTGAGAGCCAACTAGGGAAGCAGAAAAGAGTACTAGGCTTTAGAGTGAGGCCTGGGTTTGAATCCCAAACCTTATGCCTAGACAACTGGATGACCCAGAAGCCAAAGATTGACTTTCCATGTTTATACATTTCAGGTCTTTCTGTCCTTTGAAGGGATATTCAGATTGTAGCTGCAGCTCCTGACACTGAACAATACTATTTTGAATATGAAGTGTTTCTATGAGTATATTCTCAATAGTTGAAAATATGTTCTTCATACATATATTCTCTTATAAATGTATTCCTTTAAAAACTTATCCTTATAAATATATGTATGAAGAACATATTTACTAATATATTCTTGAATATTCAGAAGCTTTAAAGAATAAATTTACAAATGAAGTTACCATTGAATAATATATTTGAAAGAAATCTTTCTTCAGAAATACATTTTTGTTATAGTCTTCTGTCAGTCTTCATCTCTCCTCCAGTTTCAACTACAGTGGAAAGCTGGGACACTTAGGTTTCTTCAAAAGATACTGCCAAAACAAAATACAGTGGCTTAGTATGCTTGTAATCCTAGCTAATTGAGAATTAGAGGTCAGGAGGCAGAGATTGGGAGTCTCAAAGATTTAGGATATTTTGGGGAAAATATTTGCAAAAAAGCTGGGTGCAATATTCCACACACCAATATTCCAGGTATATGATGTCTAAACAGGAGGATCTCAGACCAGACCCAACTAATGCAAAACCAGCTGGGGGCATGACTCAAATGGTAAAACACCTGACTAATAAGCACAAGGTCCTCACTGTAACTCCCAGTACTGCAAAGAGAAAAAAATCTATAAAGACAAGTAAAACTTATTCAGCTCAGTCTTAAGGACTAAAAAAGTAAGTTTGCTGACTGGGCCATCAGGTGAATCAATGGTGAGCAATCTGATTCTTCAGTGAAACTGTCTGCTTCCAGATCTCCTTATTACACATTCCTTTCAAAAGGAGGATGGATATTGAACCCAGTAATGCATAGGACACACTGTTGTGCCAGTGCTAAACATCCCTGCTGGGTGCACAGGGGCCCACGGAGCCTTTTAGGCAGCCTTGAGCTCCTGAAGGGTGACACATCAGCAGCATGTGGCATCAAATGCTGGGGACCACAGAGCAGAAGGTGGGGCTGCAGCAGCCCATCATAGAACAACAGCACACAGAATGACACAGAAAGAAAGAAGAGGCACGGTGATGGCTTGTGGGGAAAAATAGTCTGAGAGGAGCCATCAAAGAGCAAATGGACAGCCCAAAGTTGGAGAAATGGATATTGAACGTTAACTTGTTTTTCTCCAAGTGGCTCTGTTTCATGGC